TTTAAACGTTGCGAAAGAGGTCTTTTGCAACGTTTAAAAAACGTTGCGGAAGACCTCTTCCGCAACGTTTTTTAAACGTTGCAACGTTTTTTAAACGTTGCCGTTGCCGTATCTCTTCCCTCTTTGGCAATACTGGACTTTGCAACACATGCTGAAACATTGCTAAAGGCCTTCTGCAACGTTTTTTGGCCGTTGCAAAAGGCCTTTTTTGGCGTAGTGACCTTTGACATACATTTCTTTATTAAATTATCACGTAACCTTCATATAAACATGCCACACTTTAAATTCATCAACGTATATATCAGAATAAAAGATATAAAAATTACTATTGTGTAAAGCTAGACACGTAAGAATAGCATGACGATGAAATAAATTATTGGACCATCATTAATATAGAAGATTGATAGAACGGTTATAATGAAAGGACGCAAGCTGATTTAGCCATGTTTGGTGGCATTTTTTTTGAAAAAATATTGTTTTGAATAGTGAATTTTTGAAAAATGTGCGGTTAGAAAGTAGAAAAAAGTTTTGAGTGAATATTTAAAATATTTTATTATGTGAATGCATGTTTAAAAATAAGTATATAAAATTTTTTTTTTGAAAGAACGAGATACAAACACGAACTTATGCCTTCATAGAGTTCTATGTCCCCCACACAATTTTTGTTAGCATTTCTTCACTATCAGGTGGACCAAAATTTCATGTGGTATTCATATAATTGGCACGCCATTGTCATAAATTGGATAAGGTCGTATTCTATTTGGTAAAAAGTAATTGACACAAATAGCACTGCAATGAGTTTTAATATTTTCTATAATTTATTTATCACGACTTGATGATATTATAAATGTTATTTGGGCATAAAACTTCTAATATTGGACCACATTATAGTATGCAGCCAAGTAAAACTGTATTTCAAAGTAACTCTAAAAATTTCACAAGCTGTAATTGATGGCATGTGTGAGCCCGATTAAAATCTGATTTTAATTTAAGTCAAAATCAAACAATCAATCAATATTAATCAAATCTTTCATAGGTCTCACGTCTTTTCAACCACACATTTCAAAAATCTCTATCACAATTCACTAAAAATTTAATTTTAATATCCACCAAATACCCTTTAAGTAAACATCTCTATTGTTTAATTAATATTTCAAAATTAGAATATGTTGGATAGTAAAAATCGAACTTAACAAAATAAATGTACCTAAACAAAAGAAATATTCCAAATTAAAAATTTTCTTCACGATAAATCTTGAGAGAGCAAAAATATGTAACAGTAACATGGATCGTTGTCCTTTGTGATTACATTTTTGTTATCACATTAATGATTTTGATTTTGCTATTTGATATATTGTAACATCTATATGACACATTGTTGAAATCAATTGGTAATCGTCACATTTCTCAATAACGACTATATGTTGGTAACGTCCATGTCTTTATATATTGATATAAATAACGTTGTGTAATGCAGATTGTAGAAACTAAACCCATGTTTGTCTCTCATTATTCAAAATTTTTTTCTACATACTCATTTTCAATTCGACGTTCATACAATAAAATATTCTATATTGAAACTCAAAAAATTTTCTCACTTTTTAATCATGTAATCTCAAAAAATGCACTATTTGTAACAATATTTTTTTAAAAAGAATGACCATCAAACATGGGCTAAATCAAGAATTTTATAAAATATAATGTTCAAAACATATTTTGTTCTTCTTAAAAGTTATTCTTTTATATATTGAGTTACGCCTTGGCGTTTGAGAAAAGTAGATTCCTTACCAAAATTGCAAATGTGAGAAATAAAAGTTGGGCAAAATAAGCAATTTAATTTGAGAATTATGAGTTGGTGAGCATTCCAAATCCTGCCCCAAGGGAAATGCTACCTACACTCTGGCAGTTTTCGAAATTTCATAAATACCCTCACTTTCCAATAATAGTTACACAAAAGGGCAATTCACCGTAGTACGGACAGGGTATCACTGTCATTTTCAACGCCAATCTCTTTGCAGGTAGGAAAAATGTTGTGGGATGGCATTTGAGTAATTATATTAAACGTCAAGGGTAATACATTGACGTCCCTCGCTATATATGGATAATCCACGCCTCACTGTTCTCCCTTCTGCCTTATTTATAAATCTCAAATTCTTTCAGCCATCCATTCTCTCTCCTCCCCCCAGCTCTCCACCGCCTACGGCGGCGCCACCGCTCTCACCACGTCATCTCAACGAGATCCGCCATCCTTTCGTAGTTCCGGGGACTCTAAATCTGAGATTTTCAATCAACCCATATTACCCAGTTTCTCTCTTTCTCTCTGTAAACATTTTGAAGAAATTTTAAGATTTTTATTATTACAAATTAAATCCCATTTCTGTACTTTTGATCTAAGATTTTCTTTTTCTGTTTGGGCCATTTTTAATTAATTTTTTGTCCTTTTTTGTGAACAAATTATTTCTGTCCATTTTGCCCAAGAATCGGGCTGACGTGGCAAGCTTTTAATTATATTCTCTCTCTAGAGTAAACGGACGGCTAGGATGAGTTATAACTCACGTAGACCGTTTATGCCCATACCGTCACGGAAGCGAAAAGAAAGAGAGGCATTTTATAATGTCACTTCATCGAAACCATTAGCTCCAGTAACAGCCGTTAATCCCGTCGTTAGTAGTGGGAATCCAACGACGTCGTCAGAGCAGCAGCCGATGTGTTCGAACCGGCTTTTAGCCGGTTATATGGCTTACGAGTATTTAACCAAGGGAACTCTGCTTGGAGAGAAATTTGACCCGGCTAGAGCGGCCGTTCCTGTGAACTCAGGCGACTCGAAGAGGAACAGGCCTGACGAGGGTCAGGGTCAACAGAATGTTGAAGCCAAGCCGAGCGGGAAGACGAAACCGCAGGGCTATGCTGAGGTGGCAAGCTTGTTGAAGGGAGATGGGGCCCATATTCCAGGGATTCTTAATCCTACTCAATTAGGTCGATGGATTCAGATGTGAAATCTACAACTGGATAACGTGGAAGAATTTCATTGGATGAAATTTGGACGGTCCACTTTATATGTATCTGTGGTCTTCCTTAGCTTAAAAATTCTCCTCTCGAGTACGTACGTAGAGCTGAATATCTCTGATCTCTCTCTCTCTCAATATTTCTTCTGAAACTGTTTTAAGGTCTCAGGCCAAATTTTCTTGTTTTCATGCATGAAAATCAACTCTTTTCCGTTTCCAAGAAAATGACCTTCTTTTTCATCCATGCAATTGCAAGGTTTTATGCATGTTAAGGATTCTGTGATTACACATTTCTGTTAAGGTTTTATGCATGTTAAGGAGTGTCTTAAAAATCCAATCCTACTTGAGTAGAAGTTGTGGTTAGTTTTTAAGACAAGATAGAAGGAGAAGTTAAGAACACTAGAGATACTAACGGTTGAAAGTTTCTACTTAATAGAGTTGACTTGGAACTTTGTGATCTTACTTGACCTTGGGCTTTAAGGTCAGCTCGACCATTTGTGACTGTCTGATAGTTATTTCGGATCGATAGGCTCATGGTGCTATGATATTTTCGGAATAAACATTACAGCAATATCGTCATAGGATTGGGAATTATGGTGTGTTTGAGTAATCTATGTCGTTCTATTGTATTAATTTACGAGCATTTTGTTTATGGAGTTAGGTAGGTCAAATGGTTTATTCTATTGAGTAATGCTATTCCCAGTTTAGGTGTCCATTTAAGTGTCCTTGAATGATTGAACATCTTAAATATGACTCGTATATCTTCATTTAAGATGTCGAATTATTCAACGACGTTTAATGAAACAAATAGCATGATTGATTCTATTTGGTTCCAATTCACAATTTTATATAGAAAATCTATCATAGTATGAGCCAAGTTAAATTCATTGTGCTGCCTTCATAGTTCTTACAATTTGCTCGTCTATGCATTTTTCCTAGTGTTTGTTTAATTGCACATTAACTTCTTTATGGTTATCTACATTATGAGTATTTCGTGCCAACATTCACATAAAAAACATGTTTTATTTGTTTGCGCTACTAATTTTTCTGTAGAGATATAATTTATTCTAATCGTAGGATGTGCCAATTAATCTTGTCCTAATAAGATCAATGCATTTAAAGATTTTCTTCGAAGACTTTGGTTTTGTTCAATTTAAATACGGGTTCCACATAGGAAATATTCAAAACCAAACTTTAATATGAATATCCATGGCACGTTCTATTTTCCACTCCATCTTGATTGTGAAATATGTTTCTAACCTAAGCACCTTCTTGAGCCATTTAGACTTTGTTGAGTCTAAGTATCTTGGTGTTGTGTTAGCTCAACCTTCCATAAAAAACGTTTGGGGG